CACATTCATTTGAGCTATTTGGAGTCATATGGGTGACCTTACAAACACGAAGTTTATGATGCATGCAGGTCCTAGTGGCGCAATATTTGAGGTCATGGTTTTGATCAAGTGCATACGCTACCCAAAAATACCATGAACAGATACCAGTGATTCCACTCACCACACAACCCTGAGAAAGAACAGTGCAAAATTTGGCAACTACGTAGTGTGCCGTAAAGGTCGGGCCCTGCGTGTAGTTCATTAGTTGGCAGCCGTACAGTCCTTCACAGAGGTACGGACCATTGATTGGCAGCCGTACAGTCCTTCACATAGGTGTGGCCCATTGGTTGGCAGCCGTACAGTCTTTCGCAGAGGTGTGGCCCATTGGTTGGCGGCCGTACAGCCCTTCGCAGAGGTGTGGACCATTAGTTGGCAGCCGTACAGCCCTTCGCAGAGGTGTGGACCATTGGTTGGCAGCCGTACAGCCCTTCGCAGAACATCTGGCGCAGCGGCTCTTAAGAACGCCGCCACTCGTCAAATGCGATTCCGTTGAATTAGCCGTTTTGCGAAAAAATATGACGCAAAACTGTTATGAGCTATCTAAAAAAACCCTGGATTCTACTTTCTCACGGCGCAATTGTTATGCGCGATTTTGAACTAAATATGTCGGGCTTCAATTTGAGGGATTTACGAACGTGCTTTTAAAGACGAAGATGTTGATAAAATTGGGGTTTGTTGGTTATAAGCCAGATTATGCTTGCATGGGCGGTATAACGCCAGGTCTCCTTCTACCGAGACTTTTCGAAACTTTTAATGAAAACCAATAACTTTTTAGCACGTTATATGGAAACGGCTGAAACAACTTACGGCTTGAAAGAGAAGCGGCCTCCTTCGTGGAAACAACTGCATTATAGTGAATAATGAGCAATTGTGGCGGGCAGTAAACATTGCAACTATCACAACAGTAAAATCGCCATTTGTACAGAAGCAAAGAATAGGATATATTTATGCGGATGATGTACGCATCGCCTCTCCGTGTCCAATGATGTTGCTTGTTGACTGCTTAATGAGGATGATGTTGGTGGTGCTGATGATACTTAATGATGCTGATGATGGTAATGATGATATTCAAAATATCAGGCAAAGAGAAAACGAAAGTCAATATCAAGATAGACGAAATGTAACCATGCGAAACTGCGCTTGCCGTTTTTTTGTTGTTGTGCGTCATGGTTGTTTTTCTAATATTAGCAAGGAATCTGTTGAGCACGGCACCATAACTGGTAGAAGGCGGCCAGAGCTTGTTCAGTCTGTAATCCTTTTACCGTTCCTCTTACGTCATTCTGCCCTGATGACCTCATACCACTCCCCTCACCTCATGCCGCCTTGATGACTTCATACCCACTCCCTTCACCTCGTTCCGCCCTGATGACTTCATACCCACTCCCCTCACCCTCCCTGATGACCTCATATCTTACCCGTCGCTCTCTTCCCTTTCAGGCATCTCATTTTTACTATATTTTATCACATAACGGACACCGGAGTAACCACGATTGGCCATTTGCATTTCAAGATTAACCATTGCACAGTAACATGTTAAAAAGACTACTTCGCGACAGTGCTCATTGATGAAATATCAACGCTTTGCCATAGCTGAGAGATGTTGCGGTTCGAGTCCTCGCGGGTCTATGGCAATGTTTGACCCATGCCCATGCTGGACTTAGACCAAAGTGGGGATAAATATGTTTGATCCTTCAATTTTAAACGCTTAAAAGCCACGGAACTCAATATAAGTGGGTAATAAGCCATATAACCCCTCGTTTTTATGCTTGGCCTGGCCTCTACGATTTCATCAATTTGTTTTAATATGTACAAAAAGTAGTTGTCTAGGCAAGTGAAAACGTGTTTGAATTCTTTACGTGATTGTGAAACATGAAGAAGATAAGTATACGCTTACCAAGACAGAAAGTGGTGAAAATATGACATAGATTCTTCCATCCGTGTTCAACAGGAGTTATGTTGCTCTATGTCCCCGTTGTTCATTATATCATCATTAATCATTAAACTTGTGATTTATTTAGCGTTGTTCTTCACCATCTTTGCCAGGCATGACACAAACTCTTCCAAAATGCATCGTGATATTGGCCGTTTAAAGCTTTTAGTCGGTATATGGCTTGGTTGGTTGGCTTGGTTGGTTTGCTGGTTTGTCGGCAGTCAAACACAATTTCAGTCATAGGGGGTCATTTAGTAGAAGCTAGTGGGATTGCAAACAGTGGTATTGGTCTAACATATTCTGATGCTATTTTATACGCACAAAACACAAATCATGGCCAATTCCTTCCGACGGGTATTGGGTTACGGACCCATGTGCACAAACACTTTTTGGTATCGCAACAGCGTCATTATCACAGGGTATCATCAAGCTCTCATAACGTTCTTCACACTTTAAAAACTTAAGACAATTCATCTTGGAACAGGCGCATAATACCAAGACCTAACCGTCTTTGAGCTTGTTTTCAATTTCGCGAACACTTAAGAATAGCATCCTACAAAACACCCAAGTCCTTTATCTCAACCACCATGTCCACCAGTCTCTGAAGAAGCACACCGGACAGATCACGTCCGGCTTCCGCGTCAGCTTCCACAGGGCCACCGCCTTGCTGTCCACAGCCGGCGTCTCTCCCCGCCGCGGCGTCGGCCCGACTGCGACACCCTCCGGCCCCGGCCTCAGCTCCGCCGCCTCTGCCCGGCTGGCACCCCTCACGCGTCAGTCGGCGGCACACGTCCGTCGCCGCCCAGAAGAATGCCACGCCCAGGGAACGGTCGTAGTCAGGCGCTGACCCGCTGCGGCGTGAGCGCCGGCGGCGGCGGCTCGCCCAGGCCGGCCAGCCTCGCCAGTACAGCCTCTGTGAAGCGGCGCAGCAGTGGCGCCGCCTGCTGCCGCCGGAGCGCTAGCGGCGCCGCTGTCAGCTGCAGGTGCGCCAGGTCAAAGGTCAGGCTGCTGTAGCGGAACAGGTGCCAGTCGAGCAGCAGCACGCCCTCCTCTCCGACGGCCACATTCTGCGGGCAGCAGAGGCCGTTCACCGGCACGGCCAGCTCGTCGTCAAGCTCGGAGAGGCGCAGAAAGGTGGCCATAGCGGACGGGGCGCGCGCGCGCAGCCAGCCGGCCAGCTCGGGCCGCTCGGCCTCCAGCAGGGCGGCCACCTCGCGCAGACACTGGCCGGCGTGGTCGGCCGTCAGGGGGTGACGACCCAGCTCCAGGTCACTCGGACGCAGCGCCGGGAACTCGTCCGTCAGATGGCGCCCAGGACTCCGCCAGCTGCCGCTTCAGCAGCAGGAAGAGGGCGGCATTAGACGCCAGCGCGTCGATGACGGGTGCGGCAGCGGCGGCGGTGAGCGGGCGGCGCGGGTCGAGTGGCGTCCAGCCCTGGCGGCGGGCGTCTTCTGTGACGAGCACCCAGCGGCGCGCGCTGCCCGCGTCCGTCTCGCAGTAGACGCAGTTGGCCGCGGCTAGGCCGTCCAGTCGCGGCATCACCAGTGAGAAGAAGGTGAGCTGTCGCTCCCGCGCCAGGCCACAGCTGCTCACCAGTTCGCCGAACGGACTGCGCGGCGGCAGCTGCACGGCCCAGGTGAAGCGCTTGCCGGCCGTCTGCTCCTCGGCATCCGATTGAGAGCCGGGTGTCGGGGATGAGCCAGCACCGGCGGGCGAACGGCCGCCGCTGGCAGGGTACGTCACCAGCGCCGGCAGCAGCCCCTCCTCCCCCTCCTCCGAATCGGAGAGGTAGAAGGAGCAGCGTCGCGCGCCACCAGCCGCCTCGCAGTCGTCATCAACCACCGCCAGCAGCTGGATATCCTCGTCGCCCGGCGTGTCGGCGCCCTCCGGCAGCGCCAGCGACTCCAGCTCCCGTATAACAGTGTGGTCGGGCTCCTGGACCGCTGGGGGCTGGTCCGGTTCATGGATCGCTGAGGGCTCCGGATCGTCAGCCACTACAGGGGCCGAGGGGCACGGCTTCTGCGAGACAGCCGGATCAGATGCTGAGGCCGCCCGCTCTTTCGCAGAAGCCACGGCATCGTCAACGCAAGCCGTAAATACGAGACCCTCGTCCAGAAGCGAGCTCGCTGGTGGTGACACCTCCCGCTCGTTGGGCAAACCAAAGCTGCAGTCAAAATCCACCAGGAGGAGCTCGCTGTGCTCGGACGGATAGGGACTGTCGGACACGCAGAAGTTCTCGACGCAGATGTCGTCGCCCAGGTGGGAGGCCAGCAGACTGGTGACCCATTCCGCGGTGACCTCGCGCCGGCCGTGGGGGATCCAGGAGGGCTGCGGTTCTTCCTCCCAGTCGGCCATGACCACCGGACTCCTAGGAACAGTATTACATGTCATCACTGAGGGACCTTACATCAATGCATCACACTCAATACACCTATAGTCACCTACACTTACATCACCTTCGTCTTCACTGTCAGCCGTGTGATCGTCCGCTTTCGGTTAAACGCATTATCACTGAATGTACCAAATTTCAGGAACAACGCAAAGCTATGACGTCATATTGCCGTCAGCCCGACGTCGAATTCCTCTTTGAAAGTTATCCTTGGTGATGACCATCTTCATTTGCGCGACGCATCTTTTTTTCAACTTTTTCAGATTTGCGAACCTGTTTTACACCATTCTCAAAGTTCATAGCGAACATGTCAGCCTCTCCACTTGCCTTACTACGCTATTTATTTGAAATGATGTTCTCCGGGCGTGAAATGGTCCGAAAGGGCCGAAACGTCTCAAACAAATAATAAAAATGATCTATGATATTCAAACATTACGAAAAATAAATGTTCGTATTATACCTGTCCGAATGAGTACGTTTTAGTCAGAAAAACGACACTGCAGCAACGCGCTTAGCGCCTCCACCGTCAGCAACAAGGGTCCTGGAGGGTTATCTGCAATTGGAATTGAACTCGGTAATTTTGACGCTGGGTGTTCGGCAAGCGCGCAGCTCAGTGTTCAGGGTGAGTCCAGGATGAGGTCACGCAGCTCAGTGTTCAGGGTGAGTCCAGAATGAGGTCACGCAGCTCAGTGTCCAGGATGAGGTCACGCAGCTCAGTGTCCAGGGTCCACGCACCTCTCAGTGTCCAGGGTAAGGTTATGCAGCTCAGTGTCCAGAGTGAGGCCACGCAGCTCAGTGTCCAGGGTGAGGCCACGCAGCTCAGTGTCCAGGGTGAGGTTACGCAGTCTGTCCTCCCTCCCTCTTCACCTGCCAGGGGACTTCCTCGGCCCACCCGTGGCCGAGTTCGACGATTCGCTGAACGACGGCAGCAAGCAGAGTGGGCGGCCATGCAATCTGCCAGGCATATTGCACCTGTCTGTTTACACGAGAAAACTTCTCGGAGGACAGGTGCAAGGCCAACAGAGCTGGGTAGTGGGTAGGTAGGAGACGCTCCATGACAACATTATTATGGCAATCGGTTGTACGGCTGTCTACTCATACGTAATCTTGCTTCGGGTGGAGGCCTGCACGTGAACAAATTGTATATATATATATATATATATATATATATATATATATATATATATATATATATCCCAATATCAGCAACATGGTTATTGGCTCGAGTTGCAAAATTATTAATCATTCATATACGCCGGATTTCTAGGCTTCTCAAGCTTAAGTCTCATGACCCCGTGACCTTGCACAACCCGCAATGTCTCCCGTCTTCCATTCGTCATGCTCATAGTGCTGCATCCTTGCCCAATGTGTGTCTGGCCGCGCCGGTACTCCACAGCAGTGAGGGGCCGGGGAGGTCGCGATTTGGCTGTCCCGACTGCCAGCCCCACCTGAGTGCGTAACCCCCCCCCCCCCCTCGACCCACATCCGCGTCGTATACGGCGACACCTTCCCAGCTGATCCACCGCCAGTTCCACCACAAGTGTCCTGATATTATGACAAGCGATGGAGAAAAAATGCGCTGCCACCTCATTTCGTTGGACTACGCTGAGCTGGAATGCTGTTATGTTGCTAATCGGTATGCTTTAGTCTCAGTTTAACCCCTTGATGAGTTGTCCGGCAGCATGTCTTAAGCCCATGAGGAGCTTCATTCCGTGTTCAATTGTATATGAGGGAGTGTATCACGTACTGAGCATATCTCGGTAATATCCAGCTCGACCAGAGCAGCGTTGACAAGACTACATCTTCGGGTATTTTTGCCAGGTCATTCCGCATGGAATCTCCCAACAACCAGCTATTCGCCCGCCATGTTTCATTCATTTTTCGTTTATCCTTTTACCTAGATACACGCATTAAACGCAAGTTTCTCGACTTTCAAAGACTGCAGTTTGTAACTTACACACAGCAATGACGTCTGGACAAAGTTCAACATCCAGCACGCCTCAAAGCATTCATGGAATCCATCCTAGTGGTCAGTCGGCCTTTTCCACAAACGCCTGTTCCAATCCGCTTCCACCCGACCCAGCATGAACAATGCCAACGATGACCGAAGCTAACGTATAACAACGGAGTCCTCTTTGCACTCACTTCGTACGAGAATAAATTGGCATTCAGCCGACAACAATGCACTTTTAATAACGTTCCTAACCTGCACTCCACAGCCTCAGTTTACCCCCTCGACAATTTGTTCTACAGTATGTGGATTTGTTAAATCCATGAGGACTTCTTTTCCGTACCTAGACAGCATGCAAAAAGCACCGCTCATGTCACCTTATACGGCTCGCACTCGGCGCGGTTCATGGGGCGGGGGTAAGTGTTACCGCCATATACGGACGCTGCTGTACCGCGCCAGCGAGGTGCACTGTGTCCTACAACGACGCGTTCACGGTGTCAGTGAACACAGCTGCGAAGTACGCCGGCGCTGCCCCCGACTGCGTCAAAACATCCAGCGCGGTATCCGACCAAGCCGGAAGGAGCGCCCGTCAATGGGATCTGATGGCCGGCAATCTGATGGGACGTGAGCTTCAGCAACCGCCGCCTGCTTGAGCGGACATGCCAGTGACCCGTGAAAGTAGGAAGCCGCGCATCGAACGCTGTCATCGGGTGACTCAACGGCGCCAGACGGCGAGCCGGCACGACGCTGCAGTATGGAGTGCGGCCACAGCCCCCGCTCGCGGCGAATAAGCTCCAAGTGGAGAACTCTGTCGGAGGCAATGTTGTCGGGCCGATTTTCAGCTGGACAGAAGCTGCGCCATTGCTGCGTCTCACGTGTCCTTGGATTTGCATTGCCGATAATTCATAGATTCCGTCCGTTGCATTAGTGACAGGTCCAGCCAACCCTTGGATGCATTTCAGCGCACGCTACCTTTCATGACGGTGCCTTATTCGCCGAATTCTCGATGGCAGAGCCTGCCAAGCAAACACACGACTATTGATAAATGTATTCGAGGAGCCATTGACCTTTATGGAAAGACTGGTATAGCATGGCCAGCGACAGCGATATAATAATGCTAGACACAAGTATGGGGTTGTGATATAATTTGTGAGACACAGCTTCAGAACCTGACCTGAATGTCGTGAAAGAACATGCGTTAGTTGAAGCTTGGTCACATGCAAGCAAACCCTGCCTTCATGATGTTTCTTCCTGGAAGCACACCACACACTTCAGTGCGGCGTCCGTCCCCGTCGTTTGGTATATCTGGGGTTCTGATGACGTTGATGATGATGACGATGATGATGAGCTAGCCTACGTGGCGTTACAACAGATGCAAGTTTGGAACCCACTTACATTTTCCCTGCGCAGTGTAGAAAGCAAAAGCAAACAGGCAAATAGCATTGTATGCATCAACCATTCGACCATTCTTGACCATTCCTGGCACCTCGGGTCATTCGACATCGAGTTCACGTCGTTTTAATGTGTTGAGAGATCCCCAGTGTAATGAATAACACTTGCCCTTTTATGCATCATTACCTTCACATTCATTTGACCTTTTATTAGCATCGTTACTGGGTAGGTGGGTCTGGGATTTATAAGCCAATCATGGTAATGAATGGCACTTATGGAGGTGCTGACAGCTAATATATTTTGCGCACACAATGTCAAGAGTATCTAAGACCAAGGGAAAACCTGACCAATACTATCTTGTGTGACCTTGCTCTGTCCCCAGAAATGATTAGCGACTTATTCTGAAATCAACAGAAAAAAATCATTGACAGAACTGCGGGAGCGCAAACCGGGATCGTTTGCGGAGGCCTGAAATGCCGACCAAATGACAGCTATGGGATCAATGGTGATACGGCTGTTTTACGGTGAAATACTACACGCAAAATAAATATAGCTTCCATTCGGTTTAAAATCACATAAGTTATACAGTGCATTACCGGGGAACATTAACCCAATTATAACTCCAATCCCCTGGTTTTCCTCCGAGGAAAAAGGCTAATACTTCTGTCTTAGCAAATGATGTAGCATTACATCGCTGAAAACGCACAGCGCTGCCTCACCCGTTCTTTATTTATGCTCCCGCAGGTCGGGTGCGAAATCGGCAGAGACGCGGCACCCCGTACCCCGTACCCCGTACCTCGTCGCAGTCGGTCATGGGCATGGCCTGAATACCAGTGCTGTGAAGGCAATCTCCCACACACGTGTACTTTAAATGCATTTCCTGGAGCGGGTGAAGATCCCTGGGATCTCCTTGACGCGTCTCCCTCCACAAGGCAGCAGCGCATGCACACGTGATGGGGTTTGGCAACACGCGCTCTCCGCACGCTTCCTGTGTGAACTCGGCGGCAGACACCGACACCCGTACTCACAGCGGCGGCGAGTCGACCCGGCCAGGGAGTGACGGCTGTGGCGCACCCGCGCCGCGTCTGCCGCTGCACTGCTGCGTCACGACGGCCGCCGTCCCGCACACCTCACAGCTGCAGCCGGGCGGCCCACTGCGGCCGACAGCAGAAGACGGCGCGGCCGGCCGGCCGAGCAGAAGACTCGGCAGCAAAACCGGTCCGGCCACAGGGATTACAGGCGACTAGGCCAGACCGCTGACCATAACCAGACGCCAAACAACACCACTCACGTTGTTTGTGGCGGTCATTCTAAGCCAAAATTGGGCAATTAATAAAGGTGTCCTGTCCGCGTTCTTATTAGTAGTTTAAAACGGATTGCTAACGGCGGTCTGCCGGTACATTCTGTTTGTTGCTTCGACACTTTCCAGTTGTTTCATCCTTCCGCTGGAAAAGCGATGAAGCTCAGTTGTGAATTATTGTGCTACGTGACTGGCCACTACATCCGGCATTGCACTACCATTTCCAGTCGCGTTTCTGGATACCAGACCAAGACGAGATTATACCCTATTGCCTGCGAACCAAAGCTTACTACCCCAGCGTCGCCATCAGTCCCGGCAGGAGTTACCCCGAAATACTGTTGGAATGCTGAGACCGCGACCGCGCCCTAAGACATGGTGTTCGTGACCACGTCATTAGCGAGCAAGTGCTTTGCTTAGATGGCAAGATGCTTGCCATCCGTGAACGAGGCGACTTAAGAGGCTTTTTGCTTTCGTCTAGTTATTTCATGCAATCACCCGTCTACGGCCAGCCGTTTCCTACCCGAGTCTCCCGCAGCTGCCTTCACAGTTCACACCCACGCCCGCGAGCTGGCTGATTTTCACCGAACCCGTGCCTTTGAGGTGGGTGACATCTGTCGAGCCCACCCCCGAGAGCTGGCTGATATCCGCCGAACGCACGCCCGCGAGCTGGCTGATATTCAGCGAACCCATGCCCGCGCGTTGGCTGATATCTGCCGAACCCACGCCCGCGAGCTGGCTGATATTCGTCGACTGCTGAGTGCCCGTCAACCCATCGCGAGACCGTCAACCGTACCTGTCCTGTCTCGCGACGCAAATGAACCCCCCGGGAGCCAGCCGCCAGCTGCGGCACCGGGGCCGCGCTCGCCGCCCTTGGCGGGCCCGGGCGGCCCAGCACCTCCGTAAAAGGAGGTGCCGCAGCCGGTGCGGCGCCCGCGCCGAGGCGGCCCGGCCGGACTCCGCGCCGCGGAATCTGACACTACCCGGCGACTGATGGATGGACGGCCGCCACCAGCCGCAGTCAGCTGGCTCGGGGGGTGAAGCGCGGCTCAAAACTTGCACCCGTCACTGGCATGGCTGCAGGAATGTACTCAGCTTGTTTTCCTTGTTGGCTTTCACTTTGAGGAGCGACTTCGACGTTGACTTTGCTTGTTTGGTGCTCATGTGTGAGAGACGCTTTCAGATTTACGAGTCGTTGAGTGCTACCTTTTCCCCGCAGCACCCACAAGCATAACCATTTGCAATGTCAAGAGACTACGGTGTGGTTTGCATCTCCAGGGTGGACCACCGAGGTGTTTTAACTGAAACGCCCCGACTTACAGCCCGCCCCCGCCCCCGCGGCTGCTCCCTCCGTTAATCCTGACCATCCTCAGGTGCCGCCCCTCCCGGCAGCTCCTCCCTCCCCTGACCTTGACCCTCGGCCGCCAGCCTCGGTCCCAGCTGGCCGCCTGATGCGCCGTTCCTCGCCGGGGCGCCCCTAACGTAGCGCACCAGCACGAGTGCGCGCGCAGCTGCAGCGGCGGGCGCGCTGCACCTGTCACAAATACACTGCATCACTCGCCGCACCGGAACAGCTGTGACTTTCCCGTCTATAGAGCGCCGTCACGTGGTCTGGCGGACATTCACAGGCGCAAAAACTGCGCCCTTCGTGATCAGCCCAGGGTGGAGAGGCGGAGTGTCAGGCTCATGTAGCTTGGGAATATTTGTAAGTCTACCAAATGAGTCAAAACATGTTGAAAAAGGCTACTCACGTCCTGTTTTTACCGTACAAGGGTATTAAAGTTGGTGCGATGCTTCTGCAGCAGTAATGAATACCTGCCCAGACCAGACCATCGTCAGACCATTCAATCGACATCACAAGACCTAATCGTATTTTCTCCATTCCGAGGGGAATTAATGACGTCATTACTCAACGCCCCAACCGGCACAATCTGCCTGACCACCCGTCTGCCATGTCCGGAGGCGCGGGAACCGGTGCGGGGTGTGACCTACCGACTGCTGATGCTTGTCTCCCCTGCTCACCGACGGAGAGGGGTGGGGCTGGTCGGCAAGCCTTCTGCGGCCGCCACCGGCGCTGTACCGGCGAGGCCGCGGCGTGACAGGGCGGCAGCCGGCGCGGCTCAAGCACCGCCCCCCTGCCTGCTCGTCGGCTCCCTCAACACAGAGGTGGCGAAGCCAAAGCTGCTCCAGCTGCCTCATTGACTCCAACGCTTCATTACTGCATCATCATGGCACTGCAGGAGTCCTGACTCCACCAGTCCACCGCCAGCCAAATGCTTGGTGCACTCGGCTGCCATATCTGCTGCTGAGTCCTGAGTCCGTTTATCCAAGGCAAGCTGCATGCATCAGCAATGAGCAAGAGCGACGCAGCAGGGGGAGGAGGGGGGGGGGGGGACAGGTGGGAAAAAGCCTATTTTGCCCGCATTCCTCCCAACAACAACAACAAAAACGGAGAGATCACTGCACAAGATCTCTGCTTGGCTGCTGGTCGGAAGGCCCTATTTTCGGGAGGCAGATGTGGCAGTCGAGCGGAGTTAGCCAGCAGAAGAGGTGGCAACCGAACAGATTCAGAGGCCTCCTGGGGTCCCACGTAAGCACAAGGGCGGCTCACGTGTATTACTTAAGTATACATCAAGGAGGCCTATTTAGCTGAGCTCGAGAGTACTTAACTGAGCTCAGAAGACCTTTTCCTGTACCAAGTGACTCGTTTTCTGGATTATGAGACTGCCTTTTATGATTAAGGTAGCCCGTGCTCTAGATCAGGGGCGGTTTCTTTGCATAGGAGGCTTCTGGTTTGAACTAGGAGATCCTTGACGAACTAGGATGCCTCCGTTTTGAATTAGGAGGCCCCCGGTTTGTACGCGGAGACCCCGTTTTGAGCTAGGAGGCTACGGTTTTTAACTAGGAGCCCCCCCCCCCCCCCCCCTGTGACGAGCTATGAATCTCTGTTGTGAATTTAATGGCCCCTTTATGCACATGGAGCTCTCTTTAGAAACTGTGAGGTCCCTGTTAAGAAGTTGAGGCCTTCCTTATGAACGAGGGGGCAAGGAGTTTGAACTACGAGGTCCCGTTGTGAGCTAGAAGGCTCCCGTTATGGGCTAGGAGAACCCCGTTAGTTGCAAAATATTTTAAAATTGTCGCTCTTGGTACTACCGAATAAAAAACACATTCTGTATCGGGGTGCACGCGAGACTAGCTGATTCATAAATGGTGGGGATGGGCTCATTGTGCACAAAGCGTGGGAATTCATAGGTGCGGTGACTTTTCCCGATAGCTCTTTCCTTCTAAGACCAGCAGTGCTAAAATTGGCGAAATAAGGTGTTTCTACAGGTCAAGCGACAAGCCGAGACATTGCAGACGTTTTCTCTTGCCGCCTTGCACAGCGGGCGACAAGGGTCAGTTACCGACAAGCGCATTGGCTGAAGTGTGAGCCAGGGCGTAATCATGAACTATGTGATGCTCCATTTCCCAAAGCAAAAGTGTTCTTTGAACAGAGCCAATGTGGCATACACAATAGGGAAGATATGTGTGCATATTTCAAGGTTTCGTAGTATTTCTTACGCAAGCATTTTGGCAAAATAGTATGTTGCAAACATTACAGAACTCACACTTTGGACGAGAAAAGTAAGCTAAATGTATTGGTTTAAAGGAGGTGAGTAGGGAGTCCCAAGAGATTTCTCCAGCAGTAGCGGCTATCTTAAATCGAAGTTGAGGGTAATCAGAACGATATATATATATATATATATATATATATATATATATATATATGTATATATATATATGTATTTAGAGAGAGAGAGAGAGGGATGTACATATATATATATATATATATATATATATATATCAGAAGGAGATAAATGGTACTACCGACGAAGTCAGAAGCGTGTAATCTAACAATGATTGGAAAGTCCAAAAAGGTGGCATGTTCCATTTGAATGCATTTTGCTAACCCACGTCTTCCTCCCCGCAAGATCTGTTCGCTTCCATCTAAGCATATCAAGCTCGGAAACTCCTGGCCTTAGTTGCAATGACATAAACATGGTTGCTGAATAGTCGGAGTCTGAACCAAAATGTAAAAATAAACTTACGGCACTGGCGCCAAGGCTGCTTATTGAGCGTTCTTTGATCAGCTAACCAGCCACCTCAACAGGAGTCCGCAAAACCCTCCGGCGATGGGGCAAGTTTTAAAGCTTTTTTTCCGTAGCGCTCATAAACCTAGCGATAGGCAAGAAGCGGTCAAAGAAATAATGACACAAGCTGGAACGTTCTCAATAAGGTATGCTTAATGGCAGTGTTTGACCGGTTATTCTCCTAATGCGAATTGCTGCATATCTCAACATAAAGAAGCGTTCCATCGAATCGTCATGAAAGCATTTTATCTTAAGTATACGAGATACCCATAATAAGGTCTGGGCGGACACCTCCACATCTCATCGTATATATGTGCACCAGTGTGCCCACCTGGTCAGGGGGCGTGTGTAACAAATAGCCGCTTTCCCGAACAGAATGCTCTGTTTTGAAAAGAGCGAAGCACTTTCTTGGGTTTGAAGCCCCTCTGAGAGCTGAAAGGAATTTGTTCTACATCAGGAAACCCTTCTATGCATCAGGAAACCCTTTGTTCGCACAGACAGCCCTGTTTGGAATAATACGGTCTTTTCCTGAACGAAGAAGACCTTGTGTTAATCAGACGGTCCCATATGCTGGATGTTTAGCTGTCGACGTTCCTTTACGTAGATATCCATAAATACAATGATTTGAAAAGGTTGTGCGTGCCCCAGTGCCCACC